ATGAAATCTATCTCACTCTTTATGGCTTCTTTCCATAAAGGACCCTCAGTTGAGCTCACAGGTTCTTTATACGTTTAAGGTTCAGCCTCTAGCATATAGGTTAGAAAATTCGATCCGAAAGACTTTTTATCCTTGCCCTCTTACTTCATCTAGGCTCTTCCTCTGTTTCCACATTTTCATCGTTTTTAGAATTTTGACTACAATACTCTATGATAGTCTCAAAAATTTATTTTGACGAACTTGGCTCATCTTCCTTAGTCTTACATGGAAATACATGTTCAAAGAATGATGCATTCCTAGATTATATTATCCTGTTCTTGTGTATGTCAGGATTTTTAGACTCATGAATAAGGAACCGATATGCGGAACTGTTATGAGCATACCCAATGAAGATATAATCAACCGTTTTCAGACCTATCTTCATCTTCTTTGGCTTTCGTTCCATTACCTTGGCCAAAGACCCCCACACTTTTAAATATTTGTAGGAAGGTTTCCTCCCTTTCCACAATTTATAGGGGGTTTTATCGACTTTCTTACGCGAAACCCGATTTAATAGGTAATTAGCCGATAAAATGGCTTCCCCCCACATGTTCTGTGGCAACCCAGAACTTATTAACATTGCATTCATCATATCCATTAAGCTATAATTTTTCCGTTCAGTAATGCCATTCGATTGGGGAGAATATGGTGGTGTGACTTCGTAAATAATTTCATGTTATGCACAAAGCGCACTAAATGGTTCAACATATTCACCACCTCGGTCACTTCTTACCATCTTAATCTTTTTATTAAGTTGATTTTCAACTTCTTGCTTATAGATAGCAAATTTCTCTACAGCTTCATCTTTACTTTTTAGTAAATATACATAGCAATACTTTGTGCTATCATCAATGAAAGTGATAAAATACTTATTATCACCTCTAGTTTGAACAAACTTTAAGTCACAAACATCACTATGTATTAGATCATGTGATTCAATATTCCTTTCTATCGATTGGAATGATGACCTTGTTCGTTTTGCCTTTACACAAGTTTCACATTTACGTTTTGAATCTATACGAAATGCGGGTATGTGATCCAAGTTAATTAATCTACGTAAAGTATCATAATTAACATGTCCTAGTTTACCATGCCATAAGTTAGAAGACTCGCACATATAAATGGAAGACTCTTTCTTTTTATTCATTTTCTTAGGTTTTACAACTATGACATTCATTTTCCACATGCCACTCTTTACATAACCCCTCCCCACAAACATTCCCATCTTAGCCAAAACTATTTTATCGGCTTCAAACACCATCTTAAAGCCGTGCATGCTCAGCATCGTCCCGGATATGAGATTCTTCTGGATGTCGGGCACCTAAAGCATGTTGTGGAGCTTTACTTCCTTACCCGAGGTCATCTTCAAGAACACCATTCCCTGGCCCTTGATCACAGAAGTTGCAGAGTTGCCCATGAAAAGTTTTTCTCCAGTTTCCAACGGAACTAGATCAGTAAACTCAGCCCGGTCACAGCAAATATGTCTTGTAGCCCCAATATCGAGCCATCACTCCTTTGGATTGGAGTCGACCAAGTTCACTTCGGAGACCACAACAGACAAACTAATTTCGGACACTTCTTTGAAAATGGTGTCCACAACATTGGACTCTTTATCCTTGTTTCGCTTCGACAACCTGCAGTCCGCTGACTTATGCCCAACCTTGTTGCAATTGAAGCACTTCCCTTGGAATTTCTTCTTGACAATTCCCTTTGGTCCCAACTTGGATCCGGGCTTTCTTTTCTTTTTGGAGCTATCATGCTCCACCATATTAGCCTTAGCAGAGGTTGCGGTTGCATTGGAGTACTTCTTCTTTGTCCGCCTATTGTCTTCTTCAATACAAAGCCTGACAACCAATTGCTCAATGATAATCTCTTTCCTCTTGTGCATCAGATAGCTCTTGAACTCCTTCCATAAGGGGGGTAGCTTATCAACCAGTGCAGCTACCTGAAAAGATTCACTAATAGCCATTCCCTAAGCATGTATCTCGTGAATTATCAATTGGAGCTCTTGAACTTAACTAATAACAGTCTTCGAGTCCACCATCTTGTAATTCAGGAATTGGCCTGCTAAGAACTTCTTAGCACCCACGTCCTCGAACTTATATTTCTAGTCTAAAGATTCTCATAATTCCTTAGCTGTTTTCTTTGAGCTATACACGTTGTAAAGCCCATCAGTCAAGCCGTTCAGCACATAGGTCCGACACAAGAAGTCAGAATGGTTCCATGCATCAACCGCATTGAATGCTTGAGTATCCACTTCATCCTCTCTAATAGTAGGAGGATCATCTTTCAAGAATCTCGCTAGATTCAATGTTATCAGATAAAATAACATTTTTTATTGCCAAGTCTTAAAATTCATCCCACTGAATTTATCAGGCTTTTCATTGTGATTCACAGGAACCGAGACCAGCGAAGGCCGCGTAGAGGTCAAAGCAGGGGTTGGGACCGAGACAGACGTTTGTCCCACAGGTGACGGCTTAGGCATCATAGTGTTGCTTCTAGTAGGAACAACCACGTTTATGTTATCAGCCATTTCTAAAAATAAAATTTTCAAGTTAGTAAGGAAATTGGCAAAAATTTCCTACAATAAAAAACGTTGTTTTTTTCCTTTCCTCCAGCAAATTCCTCCTTTGTATAAATTCCGGATCTATTTTTTTTTTCTTGACTTATGCTTTAGATTTTTTTTCCTTTTGTTTTTTTTTTCTTTTTTCTTTTTTCTTTTCTTTTCCACAATTTATATAACTTGTGGAGCGCCCGTTTTTGACTAGTTATTTTCTTAAATGTTAAAACTGACTACTTGTTAAGCTTGTCCGTATGCATTTTATTTTATTTTTATTTAACTTAGCTAATTTTAAATACTATCTGAATTCATTTATTAAAAAAACTCATACAAAATATTTAGATTTGCCAATATTCATGTTCGATTTCTTGCTACTTATTAATTTACAGTTTCGGATCTTGCAAAAAATAACCAAATACCAAGGAGAGTTTTGGATAAGCTCTCAAACTTAAATGCTTTTAGGATAAGTAATTAGTTCGTTTGGTGCATTGGATAAGACGTGAGTTTGGGTAAATAATCTCAATCTCTTATGTATTTTTAGTATATCTATATAATACTTTTTTTTTTAAAAAAGGTGTATCAAATCTCATTGCGTGTGAGTTTGTCTTAAAATCAAACAAACGTTTATTCTCAATTTGAAAGTATACAAACACGTTATAACCCAGACACCCAGTCTAATTTAATATCACACCAAACACGTTATAGTATTAAAGCAAACCCATGTTATTTTAATTCGGTCAAATCTTTACCAAATCCTCCACAACAATCATATCCAAATTTTTATTTAAGTAAAGTTATTTTGGTATAATTATATAAGTCAGTCAACTTTTTGAACAACAATCACTCAAGGCTGCATTTGGTTAGGTGAAAAGAAAAAGAATAAAATGGAATAAAATCTAAATTTCATGTTTAGTTGAATTTATAAGAAACGAATGGTCATTTAAAATTCTCTCATCACATATGAGGAATAATTATTCTAAACTCTTTTCTTCATTTTTTTCCGTAATTACCCTTCAATATTTTAATATAATTACAATATATTATATAGTTGTTATATCTTATAATATGTAATATAATATAATATATAATAAAAATATTATAATATAATATATTATAATATATAATAGGATGATATAATAAAAGAGATATACATGAAGCAATCATCATTCACAATTATGCCACGTGTTCAGTTTGAAATTTATTTATTAAGGTGATGTTTGGTAGAGGAATTCGTTCTCTTATTCGAATTATAATTCGTGGTTCGTTACAGTATTTTTTTTCACAAAAAATACACATAAATCGAAAATAATTCTAATCACATGGTTCTAATCTATGAACCAAACAGACTCTAAGGTTCCGTTCATTTCGCTGATTCGAGTTTAGAATTTGAGTTTTTCTACAGTAAAAAGCTCTCACAAACAATCACATCTAACTTTTTTACTATAGTAAAAAACTTTCATATAAAGTCACATCTTAACTCAAATTTTAAACTCAAATCAGCGAAGTGAACGTGACCTAAAGGTTAGTCACCGCGTTGTAGTGCTTTGCTGGTCCCAATTGTACCTTTTTATTGAGCATGTAATGGCAGGCGTTGGATGCATATTATTGGTGCTGGTCCTCGATTTTCTAGCGGTCCAGGCAATAATTAGAAAATAACCCTTCAAAAAGAAAAAAAATATCCAGTATGCATTTACATGGTTCACACGTTTAACACGCTTTGATATAACAGTGGAGGGAAATATCTCGTAGTTGACTTATATTGTATAATAATAATTATATTATATTATATTATATTTTATATATTATATTAATTATATTAATATATAAAATATTATCATTATAATTTTATCAACATAAAAATATTCATATTCTATTGCATAACATTCTTAAAATTACAATTAAATAATTGAATCAACATTTTTTTATATTTTATTATCATTATATTACTATTATCATTATGATTTTCTGCAAGCAAACGCACCAATAAGTGGGCATGTTCTTTTATCCAAAAAAATTTTAAAAAAGACAACTAAAGTTTTAACTTTATTTAAGTTCATATTCTTTTAAGTTTCAACTTTATTCAGTTTTACTCAACTTTATTTAAGTTCTAATTTTAACTCAAGTTATAATTCAAATTTAACTCAAAAACTACACTCAAATTATACTCTAAAAGAACAACCCTAAATAACTCAACATGTGTTGTTTGGTTTTTTTAATTTATTTTAATGGGAACCTTTTTTCTATCAACAAAGAATACTGTTATTTTTTTGGCATTTAAGAATTGTACACGTGGCACAAGGCCATAGGCTAATAGTATCTGCACGATACTCAAGGTAACGTCGTGACTAGCAATTAGTAACAGCTAACGGCTGGTCCATGTCGCACACATGACAGATTTACAGCGAAGACCATCACGCCATAAAGCCGACGACGAAACACAAAACAGACGCCAATATTAGCACCTTCGTTTCTCAAACAGACATACATATTACATACATTTTTGGAAGGCTTTCTTTTTTTTTGTCTCTCTGGGGACTTTTCACAAACACCTTTTGCGCGGTTTTTGGATTTGATCGTTAGGTAAGGGTTCTTGTGAATCTGTAGTAGACCGAAAATGAGTTTCAGAGACGAGAATGAAGAATCAAGGGATCTCAGAAAGCCATTTCTCCACACCGGAAGCTGGTATCGCATGGGTTCGAGGCAATCCAGTATGCTGGGCTCGTCCCAGGCCATCCGCGATAGCTCCATCTCCGTCGTCGCCTGCGTTCTCATCGTCGCTTTGGGTCCAATCCAATTCGGATTCACCGTAAGTTATTCATTCGCCAGTTTCGATCTTTTCTATGTTGTTTTGTTCTGTTTTTGTTTGTGTTTTTTATTTGATTTTGAATTCCCCAGGGTGGTTATTCCTCGCCAACACAATCAGCAATCACCAAGGATCTTGGACTTACAGTCCCGGAGGTTTGAATCTCAGTTGCTTAGAATCATGTTCATGCATATGGGAAAAAAAAATGTGTTGTTTTGATTTTCTAATGGATTTTTGGGTCAGTTTTCTCTGTTTGGTTCTTTATCAAATGTAGGTGCCATGGTTGGGGCAATAGCCAGCGGTCAAATAGCTGAGTGTATTGGTCGAAAAGGAGTAAGAATGCATAAATCTCCTATTGTGTTTCTTTCAAGAGTCATAATTACTTCTTTTCCCAATTTGGGGAGCAGACATATGCAAAATTGCTCGTGTTTGTCTTCAATAATTTATTTATTTATTTATTTATTTTTCATAGGATTCTTCTTTTCTCTACATGGGAAGATTGTTGGAAGGATTTGGCGTGGGGATATTCTCATACACTGTATGTTTCAGTTTTGATGTTTATTTTGTTTATTTGTTTATTTTTTTCAAATTTTTAGTGGAAAGAGATTTCGGAGTTTCAATTTCTCTGTTAATCTGCAGGTGCCTGTATATATAGCTGAGATAGCACCTCAAAACTTGAGAGGCAGTTTGGGTTCGGTGAATCAGGTTTGTATGCTTAATGGTTTATTTCAATTATCATTTGGTGTTATTTATGATCTTTGCTATTATAAACTTTAATCGATTGATATACTAGTTTACTTTATTATCTTTTACTGTAGCTCTCAGTAACCATTGGGATAATGCTTGCTTACCTGCTAGGACTTTTTGTTCCATGGAGAATACTAGCAGTTTTGGGTAATCCAACGACTTGCCATATCTCTTGTTGGAAATTCTTCTTGAAATTTTCTCTTCGATTTTTTTTTTTCATCACAAATATGATTTCTTTCTTATTTGGATTCAGATGATCTTTGTTAAATTTAGGTTTAATTTGCTCTGTAACTTTGAGTCCTAGTTAAAAGGCCTTTTGCTTTTTAACACACTTTTCAAAGCTGATGGAACTCCGCAACCTGCAGGAACACTGCCCTGTATAATACTAATACCTGGACTGTTCTTCATTCCAGAATCTCCTCGGTGGCTTGTAAGTTGCATGAAATTGGTATTCTTACTCAGTCTTGGTTACTTTTTTTTACAGCTTAATTTTGCATTTTTTTGGAACCCCAATCCAGGCAAAAATGGGCATGATGGAAGATTTCGAAGCCTCTTTGCAAGTTCTCCGGGGATTTGATGCTGATATTACTGTTGAAGTGAACGAAATTAAGGTAGAACCATTCCAATGTTTGCAATTCAATTTTGAGAAACTCCGCATTATGTACCTTACATTTAATCTAATCTGGCATTGCATTTATGTGTAAAATGCGCAGAGGGCTGTAGCATCATCAGCAGGCAAAAGAACGACAATCCGATTTGCGCAGCTCAAACAAAGAAGATACTGGCTACCTCTAATGGTATCAATTGTTTTCAGGAATATTTAGGTGTCCATTTGCCTATCACGTGGCCTAACTTATGCCGTTGTTGAGAACCTAACTGCTTTTTGCACGTGCTTCAGATTGGAATAGGATTACTTGTACTGCAACAGATTAGTGGAATTAACGGCGTTTTATTCTATTCAAGTACCATTTTTGAAGCTGCTGGTGAGCACAAGCCTTTTTTACATCTAATTTGGAAGAACTAAGTAGGGATGTTGTGTGAAACAAAATCCTTAAATTAGTATATAGCTTGTATATTAATAAGGGGCCCTCTATTTTGCTTCTGTTATGTATATCTTGTATTGACAGCAGAAAAATTATCTTATCTGCTTAGATTTCACCTCAACTGGATCTTATTCATTCCTTTATTTGACAGGGGTGAAATCGAGTAATGCCGCAACATTTGGTCTTGGGGCTATTCAGGTAGAGCCATAAGATTACTTACTTGCAAATGAAGTTTTTAACTTCACGCAATAGTTATTATTATAATGAGGATTTGTGTTCAATTAGGTTGTAGCTACTGCAGTGACTACATGGTTGGCGGACAAAGCGGGCCGCAGGCTTCTTCTTATTGTGGGTTTGACCAGTTTTCCACGGTTCAGTCATTAAATAATTTTCTATTTTAAGAACTGTAAATGAGAAGTTCTTCACATCCTTTCGCAGGTTTCATCTGCTGGAATGACAATTAGCCTCCTTGTCGTTGCAGTAGCATTCTTTCTAAAGGTACTAGATATAATGAAGTCACTTTGTTTCCCTCTATTTTTGTTGACTGTCACATCTGTGAAAAGTTTCTGCTTGATCTGTTTGCCTTCTCTAAAATTTTCCATGATATACCTGTGAACTCTAAAATTTTTCCATTTTTTACGTAATTCACAGGATTCTGTATCGAGTGATTCTAGTTTATATAGCGCACTTAGCATCATATCAGTGGTTGGAGTTGTGGTATGTATTTTTTTTTTTTTTTTCAGTAATAACAATTCATGCAGCAGTTTTGGTTTTGTCAACGGGTTAAAAATTTTGGACTGTCTTTCTAATCCACTCTTCTGTTTTTTAGGCCATGGTAGTCACCTTCTCATTGGGTATTGGAGCTATTCCATGGATTATAATGTCCGAGGTATGGGTTTCTTGTTGCCTTCTTTCTGGCTTTTATGCTAGATTTTAAAGATCTAAACACAATCTAAATAGGATCAAAAATAATAATTTAGCCAAAAATATAAAAATACCATATAAACTTATTTGGGATTTAGGCATACAGTGTTACCTCTTCCTCCGATGGGCAGCGGAGACAAGGTCGCCAGAAAATGTCAATGGCCAGCCGGAATCATTGAGAACCTGCAAAGCAAAAGGAAGTAAAGGGCAAGAGGAGCATGAACTCCTCCCTGTCTCTCCCTCTCTGTGTTCATTCGGCCACAGGCCTAAAGCCCCCCACGCACACCACACAAAGAAAAACAAAGGGTGGCTCATTATATAACCAGATAGGCCTAAGGGCTTTAAGCAATATTCAATGGAGAGGATATTTGGTCGAATGGGCTGACCAAATATTATGAGATAGAGGAAGCTCAAATGCCTCAAGCGAGTTAATAAAACAAGTGTCCATCCTATAATGGACCGATATTTAACATACATGCATGTGTTAATTCATATTAACACAGTTGTCCATAAGAGGTTTTAATTAATTACAGAGTGAATTATTATGATTATGAAAGTCCACATAAAAATATTCTAACAATCTCCCACTTGGACGACATAATCATACAACAAACATTCACTCATCACAGCATTAGCATCAACTAAGAATCTCACATAATAAACAGAAGCCCAAAACAATTATACATAATAACGTATCGATAGGATACAATCATTATACATAATTAGGCACTAGAGATTCATCGAAACATGACGACAACTTTAATATATGGATCAAAAACAATGATAGAGACTAACAACTAGATGTCTCTTTTCAACTCGTCACTTTGCCAACTAAAAAGTGTGTCAACACAACATCACACATAAAGTGACAGATCCATAAATACGCATGTATTATTTGAGGTATAAGCAATCCTTATCAATAACATGTCACACACAAATGGCAGTAAACTCCCACTAACTCAACACAACTACAGGCTCCTTACAATCCCGAGTGGGATGCGTGTTCTTAAAACACCTAATAGGTAGGCCTTTAGTGGAACCGCCAACATGTTGTTTATAGGCGTGTTTTCAATAACGATGAGGCATTTTACAATTTCTCTTCACAAAATAGAACACACTATCATTATGCTTGAGTGGACAATGCTCATGGTGTTCTAAGAGAAATATACTATTATGGAACTTTCACAACACAGCTTCAGCCGGTCCAGAAATGGAGTGAACTACTCCTAATGCTGAAACAAGGTTCCACAATTACATCACACAAATAGCCTCACGATATGCCACATACTCCGCATCACAGTCAAGGACGCTACAAGTGTCTATTTGACACTTTTCAACAAAGTAGCTCCTCCTTTTATCATTTATGCAGCCTGTATAATCGGCATCACGAGATCCAACTGCAACAAAAATGTTGGTTTGCCGATACACAACTATCTGATACTTCATTCCCAGTTAATTCAATAATAATAACAACAATCACTCAAGTACCGAATTTGCACGTCAACAACAAACTCAATAATGAGACGTGTGCATACTTAAGCATACATCAGGCTGCTAAACACGTAAGCATATGGACATTACAGCTTTGAGAGTTTGTCACTTTAACAAACAATGCTTACTAGAAGAACAAGAATGCATACTGAATCTGTTCGAAATAAGAACAATATAGGTTTTCTAAGACGACCACAAAATGCACTTATTCTTGTCACGGAGAATCTACATGCCTAGAACATAAGAGGCTTTTTTCAAGATTCTCAAACTAGGGTGACTAGGCAACATGCTATTCGTCTTAACCAGCAAGTCAGAATCATTAGGCGCGAGCAAGTTGTCACCGACATGAAAAATAAAAACATGCAACTGCTCCCACTGACCATACACATATGCATTTATCAACAACGTTCTCCATAAAGCTAATTTTAGTGACTGTCTCATCCTAAAATTGAGACGCTACTGCCTAGGTGTTATCCATACACTCTCACTCATCATAGGGTTTCTCAACACATTAGTGGAGCTAGGAAACACACCCACTCTCAAGGCTATGTCAGTTCTAACACTACGAATTCATACAGAGAGATCCACACCATTAATGATAACTTGTCCCATTTAGCGTCAAGATAGCGGAGATGCAAGGATTGTTCAAGGCTAAAAAAAACAACATGGGCAACCAACAATAGGCATGTAAAATAAGATCATGCAATTTGCCCTTTACTTAGCCTTCCCAATGATCTAAGCCAATATGATCATTGTGTGCTAGAGTCCATTGAGCAAGAATATAACTCTTTCGCAAGTAAGGACAATTCATCAAACATCACAACCAAATGCATCAATCCACCACTGATAGGGTAGTAAAGATTATGCGGTTCATGACATCCAAGAAACTTCCTTCATCGATCTAAGCATCCTATCAAACAATTAATTATCGATAGGATAATTTAGTTGCACGTATGGATCTTAGCAATATGGTAAATACATACATTTATCCTTCACACTCCAATATATTATTTAACCATAATATGAGTTTAGTGATTATGTAAGTTCATATATAATCATTCATAATATTCTCCCACTTGGACTGCATAATCTAAAACATGATACTCATATAATACAAAATGTCAAATAATAATATGTAACCAAAATACATGGATAAAGACAACAAGCTTAAGCTAAAACAAGACTCAAGTGTCCTACCAAGCAATAAAACTATCGATAGGATAATTCCATTACCCGTATGGACTTTCAGAACATAATCAACAAATTAAGTTTATCCATATAATCTCACAATTTATTATTTGATACTAGTATGTGAGTCAGTAATTATGCTAATCCACAAAAATGTTTCTAATTTTCTCCCACTTGGATAGCATAATCGAAAAACATGACACTCACATATAATACAAAATGTCAAATAATAATGATAGCAATAATAAATAAATTATGGATAAACTTATAGCTTAAGCTTTATAATAGCACATGAGTTTCTAATTAAAATTTTCATTCTCACTTTAACACAAAAGAGACCATGTATGCCTATATAAATAATTAGGCATTAAAACATTAAACACAAAATGGGCATTCTAAAATTTGAACAAACATCCATATTATATGTATAAATTTTATTTATCAAAATATCAAATTATATGGGAGAACAAATAAAATATGACCATATAATATGGAATAACAAACATGCCCCAAAATTTTCGGTGTCTAAATAGTGAGAATTAAGACTACCCAGAAAATATATGAAAATTATTACAATAAACAAATATTTAAATAAAAATATTTCTAGTAGCTCATGTGCATCCATGTAAGGAGTGTGTGTATCCTAATGCCATTTTTCAAAAGGAAATGTTAAATTTTGTGGGAGAGCTCCGTAACATAATAACCGAGACAATTTGAGATGTTTAGACTCACGACAGGCGAGCACATATACATTCACTATTGTCGAATTCTCACAATTAAATATGCCACATAATAACAACAACATAATACAAATTCTATGGCATTAATCATCAAACAAATTGTATACGAAATGCCCTATAAAAAATTGGTTTGAAAATTGTGAGAATTAGTCACCCATAAAAATATAAAATCAATAAAATGAAAATATAAAGAACATGATTTTATGGTGGCCCAAACCCAAAATAAATCATTTAATTGGGTAGGAAATGAAAAACGGACCACAACGGTGAAAACGGCAGTCAAAACAGAGTTAAAATTACAAAATAAGGCAGAATTTAGCCCAAAAATGGATCTCACGCGCACCACCTAAGCGTTGACGCGCGGTTGATACCCATGCTAATGCACGCTTGACACGCGCGCTGACGCGCGCCTGACACGCGCATTGATGCGCACACTGACGCTAGGTCCCACGCGCGCCACCTAAGAGCTGACGCGCACACTAACGCGTTTTCTTTTTCTCTGGTCGTCTTCTACCTTGAGACGGGTCAAAAGCCCTGTTTTAAACCCGATTCCAACCCGAAAATTCAAATGGGCATAACTTCCCTATCTATAACTCTGTTTTTGATGATTCTAAAGGGATTTTTCTCTAAATTTCGTGCTCTTTCATATTCTGGGATTAATTTTTCTCAACAAGGCCTAAAAATTAGACCCCTAAAAACCCCTAACCGGCCATTTTTAAAGGTTCAAAACACAGTGAATCCGGCCAAATCGACCCACGAAACTCAAAGAAATCATCACCCAAAAGCCATATTCGAAGTGGGTAACCTCAAAATAACGTTTCCTTGAGCCAAAATACGGATTCAAATTTTGGATTTTTCTTCCACCAAAAATGGAAAAATCCAAAAATACATAGCTCTAAACCCAAATAAGATTGCTCTGATACCATTTACTAGATTTTAATGATCTAAACACTATCTAAATAGGATCAAAAATAATAATCTAGCCAAAAATACGAAAATGCCATATAAACTTATTTGGGATTTAGGCATACAGTGTTACGTCTTCCTCCGGTGGACAGCGGAGACAAGGTCGCCGGAAAACGTCAATAGCCGGCCGGAATCATTGAGAACCTGCAAAGCAAAAGGAAGTAAAGGGCAAAAGGAGCATGAACTCCTCCCTGTCTCTCCCTCTCTGTGTTCATTCGGCCACAGGCCTAAAGCCCCCCACGCACACCACACAAAGAAAAACAAAGGGTGGCTCATTATATAACCAGATAGGCCTAAGGGCTTTAAGCAAGATTTAATGGAGAGGGTATTTGGTCTAATGGGCTAACTAAATATTATGAGATAGAGGGAGCTCAAATGCCTCAAGCAAGTTAATAAAACAATTGTCCATATGATGTTTTAATTAATTACAGAGTGAATTATTATGATTATGGAAGTCCACATGAAAATATTCCAACTGGATTATAATGTCCGAGGTATGGGTTTCTTGTTGCCTTCTTTCTGGCTTTTATCGTTTCCGTGATTGAAAAAGTCGGAGTGATTAGTTGTTCTGTGCTCTACAACAATATGATCTTGTAATGACATTTCCCCGACAGGTAGTCATAAGGCTTCCAAATTTGAGCCATACACTGAAGTTTCTAGTATAATCCTTTGAGATATTCAATTGTTGCAACTACTTCTTCTGGGTTCATTTTTTTTCCATGGATTTGGTGATGCAGATTCTTCCGGTCAATATTAAAGGCCTTGCTGGAAGTGTAGCAACACTTGCCAACTGGTTTACTGCGTGGGTGGTTACAATGACTGCAAATTTGCTCTTGAATTGGAGCAGTGGAGGTGTGCCTCTCTCTCTCTCTATATATATATATATGTGTGTGTGTGTGTGTGTGTGTGTGTGTGTGTTGGAAAGACAGTTAATATGTGAATGTGTTGTCTCATCAGGAACCTTCACCATTTACATGATTGTGAGTGCTTTCACCGTGGTATTTGTTACAATTTGGGTTCCGGAGACAAAAGGAAGAACATTGGAAGAAATCCAATGGTCCTTCAGATGAGGTTTCCTTTCCGCTTTTATTTCATTTTTGTTTCTCTGTTAGAAATGATCACGGATACTCTGCATTGAATATGTAATTTTTTTTTGGGTGGGGGGGGGGGGGGGGGGGGCGCATAAAAGCAGGAGTCTTCTTCAGCCTGCACGTAGTGGTTGCTATATTACTCCGTTGTATGATTGTATCTCCTTTACACAGTTGTAACTCGTATAAAATTGTTGAATAAGAAACAGAGACAGAAAAGACAGATTGTGTATTTGAACTTAAGCGTCATATGCCCCGTTCGAAAAGAGAGTTGAGTAGATTTTATGCAATAAACTCACAAATTCTATGAGTAACAACAATGTGCCCATATTGAAATCTAAAAAGTATAAATGAATAAATAAATAAAAGGGATAAAATTATTTTGGTTCTATTTGTTATAGCAAAACATCTCGTTAGTATCATATTTTTAATAATATTAAAACGGTACTTTCACTTTTAAAAATATTCTTTTAGTACCATTCACTATAACATTCTCACTAATTAACAACACATTACTAATTTTTTAAAATTAGAAAATACTTTAAAACATTTAAAAATTAAAAAATCAAAATAAGTTAAAATGTTTTAATAAAATATTTGTGAAGTTATTAGTTTATACTTAATTAATGAAAATGACATTTTAGACATTGTTATGTTTTATGCCCTCGTTTCTTATTTTGGACAGTCTACACTCCAATAGATTCGAACATGCACGTGGTACATGGATCCCCATGGCCTATGTGGAAAGCGACAATGTCAGTAGAGATTATTGCAAACAAGATTTTAAGAGATATAGGGCCTGTTTGTTTGTATTTTCATTTTCATTTTTCACGGTTTTCAAAGTAAAAAAATGAAAACGGGTGTTAAAAACGTGGTTGGTGTAATTTTTTTTTAAAAACAAAACCAAAAACGTTTTTGTCTTTTTATGAAAATCAGAAAACGAAAAAAAGGTGTTTTCATTTTCTCGTTTTCGTTTTCTGTTTTCTGAAAAACGAATTTCTCTTTTTTTTTTTTTTCATTTTCTTCCATCTTTTCTGAAACCGTTTTTGTATTATATATGTTTATTTAATATATTTATTTAATATATTATTATTTAAT